TTTTGGCACACCCCTCACACGGTTCGTGGCCCCATAGGGAGCTCCACCGAAGGCCTCAGTGGCAAAATTCGCATGCGGTTCCACCCCCATGTTGGCACACCCCTCACACGGTTCGCGGCCCCAGCCCCATAGGGAGCTCCACCGAAGGCCCCATTGGCAAAGTTCGCATGCGGTTCCACCACCATTTTGGCACACCCCTCACATGGTTCGTGGTCCCATAGGGAGCTCCAACGAAGGCCCCAATGGCAAAGTTCGCATGCGGTTCCACCCCCATGTTGGCACACCCCTCACACGGTTCGTGGCCGCATAGGGAGCTCCACCGAAGAAGGCAAAGTTCGCATGCGGTTCGACCCCCATTTTGGCACACCTCTCACACGTTTCGTGGCCCCATGGGGATCTCCACCGAAGGCGCCAGTGGCAAAGTTCTCATGCGGTTCCATCCCAATTTGGACAAACCCTCACACGGTTCGTGGCCCCACAGGGAGCTCCACTGAAGGTCCAAGTGGCAAAATTCGCATGCGGTTCCACGCCCATTTTGGCACACCCCTCACACGGTTCGTGTCCCCATAGGGAGCTCCACCGAAGGCCCCAGTGGCAAAGTTTGCATGCGGTTCCACCCCCATGTTGGCACACCCCTCACACGAACAGCGGGTCACCAAGTACGAAAGACTGCTGGTGATCTCATCCCTCTCCCCTTCATGATTCAATTTTCCAATGTTTTCCCGCATGTGCATGCTCGCAATATTTGTGTCGATGCGCCGTCCAGGCACAGCTTCTTGTGTGTGTCTCAAACCTTTCCCCGGGCCCGGTCTTTCGTCCCGAATCGTTTCTTTTGACATTGATGGGGCCCTTCGAGGGCCCGCAAGGACTGAGAACGGCGAAACGCCTGCCGCATCTTGGGCATCTTCCGGAATGTCTTTTTCAATGCGCGGCCCCCGAAATCCCGACTTCTTTTCCAACCGCAATTTTCGTGTTGGATCCGCTCTTGATCATCCCAAGGCCCGATAACGGGCCCTGGAGGCCGAACTCGAGGATATTCGCCCGGATTGAAAAATCAGATCGTCGGCGATGTTTTTCTTGTTTTTCGTTTTTTTGTTGTTCGTCTTTTTTCTACGCGCTGGAGGTCTTGGGGTGAGCTCCCTCAACCGCGAGAGAGATCCTCCGCGCTCGCGTGCTCTGGCTCAGTCCGAGCGACCCGGGCCGACCCACCAGGACGCAGCCAGGTGAAGCTCGCGGGGTGTGAGCCTATCCTTAGAGAGCAGAACATCCATCCTTATAATAATCACCTCGACGCGCGACGCCGTTTGGACGCCGTTGAGCAAGCGCACCCAACGAAGGAATCGAACGGGGCAGGGCTGCTTAATAAACGCCCAAGGCCGTCTTGTAAACGCCAATTATAGGGTCCGGGTGCTTTTTCCTCCCTTGAATCCTGGTGGAGGGATTTCACCTGGGATCGCCCCACAAAACGGCGACAGGAGGGGGGGAGAGAGGCAGGAGAGAGCAATACGGAACCAGGAGGTGGAGGAGACGGGAGCGCGGCCGTAGGGTGTGAGCCATCAAGCCCCACCGTTTGGCGCGCGCGCGCGCCTCCACCTCAGGCAAAGAATGGGGAATGAGTGGGAAGCGGCCCTGCGGGGAATCTTGGCCATACACACACGCACACACACACACACACACATCCGACGTGGTGTTTTTTTCGCAGCGTGGACCCCCCGAGGCCTCGACCCATTCCCTGGGACCCGTTCTTCATCCCAAGTCGTTTTTGACGGTCCCAGGGCCCAGCAAGTGCCCTCAGAAGCCAAATGTTGCCCAAACCCTTCCGTCGTGATTTTTTCCCTGCTCTAGAGGGTCAGGGTATCCACGCCCCCCTTTTCCAGGACTGGTCAACATCGAATCGATGCATCGGGTCGACTCGTAACGGGCATCGGATCGGGCTGCATCGGCCTGCTCGAAAATCAGAATCGAATCGAATCGGGCTGGCCAGAGACGATAACGAATCGGATCGATCTGACCGAAATGGACCCTGCCAAATCATCACCGCCTCTCTTTGGCTGCCCCCGATGGCCCCTTCAACGCCCCTCTAAGGGGGACTCCACTGACGGGTGCTTTGGCCAGTGACCCGGCGAACCCAATCCGCCCCGATGCGGGCAACGCTGCAATGCCAGAAAGAGGCCCTAAAGTGGCGACTTTCGTCAACTTTCCAAAGTACCCGCTAGTGGATACCCATGGCGGTGCCGCTGACCCCTGCGCGCGCCAGCGGGGCCGGCTGGTGGGGCGGGGCGGGTCCTGTACAGGCCGCCGCCGTTCGGCGGTGCCGCGGGCTGGAACGGGGCGCCGCCGCCTGCTCGCCGCGCCCCCGGGGCGCGAATCGACGTGGGGGCGGTGTAGGGGTGGGCAGCGAGAGCTGCAGAAAAGGGGCCCTTCAGGACCCCTGATGTGGCCCTTTGGGGCCACAGAGGGGGCCTGTAGGGCCCGAGAAGGGCACCTTTCTCCCTCCCCC